TGGAGTAGTAAGTAGTAGTAGTAGTGGAAATAGTGCCAATAGTAGTAACAGGTAAAAGGCAATTACATAGCACTATGGCAGTATAGTAGCAGATAGTAGAACCTGACTAAAGAAAGAAACATTGAACTGACTTCTGTCGAACTTGTTGACAACAGACGTTGACGTCCAGTTGTGGTAACTCGACCGATACTGTCAGCCACGAATTCAGCTCTTCCAGCGGAAGACGGTTCAGGGATGGGGCAGGTGGATGGCGAAGTAATTCTGTAAATAACTGGCAAAGTCCATGAAACATGTGATCACGGAACGAAAAAAAATGGAGTTCGGAGCACAAAGTGCGCTAGAAGCAAGCTCTCGACGTCCAATCAATTTGGGATGAATACATATTTTATTTTCAGAGCACTATTAGCAAGAAACCGACTCTACTAGCTGGACGCTAAAGCGCTGACACCACGATTGATCCAAACTCATACCACTTTTGGAAATCTTTTCAAACTACACTAAACCTTGGCATAACTCCTGTTGAGCAAAGGCACCACTGGCTTCAAGATCAGAATACAAATAACTCTTGGAAATTCCAGTGTATGTACAATTAGTGACCGATTATATTGCGAGCTAAACGGTAGACTCTGACGCTTGTAAATTCTCGATACGCCACGCATTCGACATTCACTCCTATTCGTTTTAGCGTTTGATTGCGCTTTTGTACTGTACCTTAAATTATTGGGTTGCTCAATCCTCGGTAAGCCAGAGTGTTTTCTCGCAGATGGGTCGTAATAATGAATTTCTTGATGTTTCACATGAAAGGTACTTTGAAGGGAGGGGGAGGGGGGAAGTGGGTGGTATGGAATGAAAACTTAAACACTATTCGTGTTCGAGTCCACTGGTACAAGTGACAGTAACAATAATAATAAGCTAATAATAATATGTCAAAAAAGGTGAGATCGCACTCACTGCTTCTCAAAAGGCTGTGACAGTTGTCGATCGTTCCTCGAAGTCGCTGTCGTTCAATGGCGAATGCGTCGCTGCCAACGATGATCAATGATAACCCTATCAAATCTGGAACAGGACCATAAAATATGATGTGAATTGTGAAGACATTTTTCAATCATTGATATAAATAGCTTATTTGTCTGGGAATGAGGTCTACTAATCCCCTTGTAATCATCGGAAATGCTGTGGAAACTCGTCCGGACGACTCCATTTCATATTACAAATGCTAT